TTTTATAAAAAATTTGGATATCAAGGAACTTTCTGCTGTGTGTCTCTGGCACTCTACAACTAGGCATACTTATGCATAGGTGAAAGGGAAGGATCCACTTACTGGCATAAGGCATGATCCCAATCAGGTATTAAATATGGGGAAAAGGGCATGTTTGTGTTTTTTCTGCAGGATGCTGAAAGAGCATGGTGGCTGCCAGAATGATTGGTGAGACATGCTGATGCTGGGACAAAGAATGATGCTGACCTGTGAGCTTGCTGAGTGCCCTGACAATGGTGACTGGGAAGTTGTATTGGACATATGTTCGCGACCTACCATTGCTTACCCATACCCCTGATGGGACAAATTGCATTGCCTCAAGTTTTTAGACCTTGTGGAACAGAGAATCAAAAAGAAAAGTTATAACGACTCTTGTATTGTTCTTAAATGTGACCAGTTATTCGGACTTAATCATGGCCTGGTCTAGAAATCAATCCAGTATTGGAAATAACAATCTTCATTTGGAAGTCTGGTTCTGGACATTTTCAGAGACATATTTGGAATTTAGCTGCAGTTCTCTATAATGTCGTGTTAGCAAGAGATAAAGTTGGGGCATGATATGGATTTCAAACAGGTGCTAGCACATGTGTTAAGACTCTTCTAATTGTCAAGTTAAAAATATTTTTGTTTCTTCTACAGTATTTAATGTAAGTTGCATTGATTGTATACCTTCTAACAAATTTTTCGTTTGCAAGTGGCTATCAGTTGGATATTGTGTCTTAGGGATGGGAGTGTGTGCCCACTTCTCCTCTCACCTCTAGCATCTGGTGCAGATCCCTGCAGGCACTGTGTGTGCTGCCACAGTGTGAATTCATATGTGCTGCTATGTTTGGAAGGCCCTGAGTCCTTGGTGTCCTCCATCCCCTCTAACTACCACACTCTGTCTGTCTCTTCCACAGGGTTCCCTGAACCCTAAGGGGAGGGATTTGATGGAGAAACCCCTTTAAAGCTAAAATGTTCAAGGTCTCTTACTCTCTGAAGATTGTCTGGCTGTGAGTCTCAGTTTGTTTCCGTATTCATACAAGAGGGAAATAAAATAGTTACAGATGCAAAAGATAGAGATTAGAAAGAGAGGACGAAACAGGGAGGAGGCAGAAAGAAGGAGCTAAGGAGGGAATACAGGGAGTGACAGCTGAAACTAAGAGCCATTTGAGAAGATGTATGGAAAGCTTACCGTTGAAGCTTCCAAACATATATACATATATGGACACGATCTACATTAAATCACCGAGTAACAGAGGAGACAGAGCCTCAGCTGTACATTAGTTGTCACCAAAAATCCATTCTGGTACTGGGAATGAGTTACATTTAATTGAGTTCTTGGCCAAAGGTATCCATGGAAACTCCTAAACAGCAATGGTAAGGATCCATTGCTGAAAACAATATCTATACAACTTACTGAAGACAGAACACTTGAGTTGATGCCTGTATAGAGCCTTCATTCTGGGCTGGAGAGATGGCTCAGCCATTAAAGGCTAGGCTCACAATCAAAAATAAAAGAGCCTTCACTCCTACTGACCAGTGTTCACGGTACAGGAAGACCCTCTGCACACTACCAAAGGAGAAAGGTAAACATAAATCCAGCTACAAACCTTCAGTCTACAATAGTGACCTGCCTGCAAGATATGCTTGGGGCAGTACTGGCACAAGGTTTATGGGAGTAACCAACCAATAACTGATTTGAGTTAAGGTCTTCTTCATGAGTGGAACCTATAACCAGTGTTGTTTGGCAGACCAAGAACCTGAGCTAGATAGACCAGGGACCTATGTGAAAACCAAAAGCCAAATACATACTTGCTAGAGAAACATAGCAATGACTCCTAACAATATTCTGCTATGCTCATAAACCAGTGTCTTGATTAGCTATTATCTGAGAAGCTTCATCCTGGAGCAGATTACAAATATTCTTAAACTTAACTTAGGAAGAAATTCAACTTTTTTTTTCAACAGTCAAAACTTTTTAATTAGGCTATCTACATCCCTTACAAGAGAAAAATCTTAAATTTAATAGTCCCTGTGAAAACTTTATTGAAAAGTCTCTCGGCTTAGAAAAAAAAAGTTCTGTTATTTTAAAAGCAAAACTTCTTAATAGGTACTTACAATTCTTGCAAGTGAGAAATTAAAAATAAAGTTTAATGGTCCCTGTGAAACTTAATTTATTATGCACAGCTTTGACAGAGTTTCAGTTGTTATTCCCAGGGGATGTGTACAGGGAAAGAAAAAGAAAGCAAAGAAATGTTATCAGATTTATCAGAATCAGGTTGGCATGATGCATTGTTTTCAATATTCTTTCAAATAGTTTTGACTACTTCTAATGGGACTCCTATTTTCCTAGGCATGTCAGACTGTCTGAACTTTAGCAAAGGAAAAATGGTTTTTCTTACAGTTTTCATTCAACAATTAATACAATTAAAGCCAGGAAGTTCTTCAAAGTACCTATATATCTACATGACAATTGCCTATTTATTGTATAACACTACTATTCTTAAAACAATGAAGTTTCATAATTACACACATTTTCCCAGAGCCTTTCTGATATTGAAACAATAAAAATTAAGTTAAAGTTTAATTCAAGCGAGGTTGGTTCTTCCCTGTGTTTTCTCATAACAGATGCAGGACAAAGTAAATGTCAGTTACTGTTGGTTTAATACAACATAACTGAATAGCAGTTGCGTTATATTAGTAATTCAGATGGTTATAACTGTTCATCTGGAAGTCTCATATCATTATATTTGTAAAGTTATAAAATTTCACTTAATATAAGGAAACTATTACTAGCCACGCCCCTTCACAGTTTAAATTTTATGTTTCTGAACAAAAGTTTTGAAATTCAAGGCATTTTGAAAGAGCAAAAATGCACGTAAGAGACAGCAACAAATGAAAGAAATTATTTAAGTCAGACAAGTAGATGGAAATGATTTTATATTAAAATAAATTTGTGCTCAAATATCAGAAAATGTTGGTAAGACTGAGGACTCATAGGAAAGGCCATCTTTAGAGCCACTTTGGAAGCTCAAACCTGTTCAAGTTCTTTGTCCATTTTTAATTGCTTATAAACTTTTGTTTCAGCTACCTTATGAAATATTATACTTTGTCCCTACATGTATATACTTCATTGCCTCCTCTTTTACAATTCCTTGAGATCATCACTTAGTGATACTCAGTACTTATTTCTCAGTATACATATTGGACCATAAGATTCCTTTATCTCACAAATTTTGATAGCAAATATATTATAATTAAGTTCATGAGTGTTTATACTTGCTCCATAATGATATTTGTAACCTGCAAATTATTGAGAAATATATTTATAAGAGTCCACGCTTAAACTACATTTTAGGGTTTTTCTTTTAAATACGGATTTGAAGATTGTGGAATTATGACTCTAGAAAGTGATCTGAATTATGTTGATTTGTTGACATTAAAAGACTTGCTTCCTGAGGAGGCAGAAAGACTATAAGAGTCAAAGGGGATGGACGACACCAGGAGAACAAAGCCCTCTGAATCAACTAAGCAAGGCAGATATGAGCTCGTAGAGACTGAAGCACCAAGCATGGGGCCTGCAGGGTTATACACTGGGTCCTCTGGGTATATAGTATAGCAATTAGCTTAGGCCTTTTATGGACTCCTGACCATGAAAACAAGTGGGTCTCTGACTCTTGTGCCTCTTCTTGAGACCCTTTTCCTCCTGTGGGGTTGCCAAGTCCCAATTTGAAATGATAGTTTTGCTTCATTTTATTATATTTTATTTTTTCAGATCTGGGTGTTATCTCTTAGAAGCCTGTTCTTTTCTAATGAAAGACAGAAAGGGAGTGGATCGGGGGAGGGGGGAGGTTGAGAGGAACTAGGAGGGAAGGAAAATTGCAATCAGGATATATTGTATGATAAAAGAATCTATTTTCAACTTAAAAAAAAAGAATGGCATGCCTAATAAAGTATATTGTGACTCAAAAAATTTTAAAGGGTTGCTGCTTTTCTTAAAAAACAGAGACAGGTATTATAAACACCTTAGACTACAGAAATCAGAAGTGTCCTTGGAAATTTGTTAGTTCATACACTAAGTGAAATAGTATTTAATTAAAGATGACACTACGAATCAGCTAAAGGAAAATATGAATGAATGCTCCAAACACGGGAAAAGGAAAAATGTGCATTAAATAAGGCAAGAAGAACACAAAACATAAAAGACTAAGAATTTAACTTAAAAATATTTTCATGGAAAAATATACGGCTAAGACAGTTCAAAATATGACACAAATGGTATTTATCACTTACGCATATATCCCAAAATGGATTAGAATCCGGATTGTCTTTCCTTTATTTCTACGCTAGAGATTGAGCCTCCTGCACTGCATGGATTCCGTGAACAGAACAGCATGACCTGGGTGGAATGATACCACTAAGAGTGATATGAGAAGCTGCCTGTAAAGGTCCTCTCCAAAGCTTAACATATAGACTTAACGTGTAAGACTACTGCAGATGAAAGGGGAAAGAACAAGCCTCAGTACGGGCATGCACAGGTTACAGAAAATGATGGAAATGAACCAGCCTGCTCTAAATTATCTCCTGTGTCCCCTTTGGTTAGTCGATTTCTTTTGACTCTTGATTACTGTTTTTTTGTTTTAATTAGTAACATTTAAACATCAGCACTACAAAGGAAAATCAATATGAGTAAGAATTAAGTAACAAAATATAGGAAGAAAAAAAAGAACATAAAAAAAAACCTAGCATATTGACATTAAGTGTGAAATAGGCAAAATAGAATGTGAAGATGCTCTGTGTGGAAATGAGGATTAACCCGTCACGTGAGGGTAATAATAGAGAAGGCCCTAGCAACATGGGTTGGCAGATAAGCCTCTTCCAAAATGCAGATGCAGAGGTAATTGATTCCAACAGAAAAGGGTATGAAATAGGAATGGTACTGGCATAGTCTCCAAGGTTGGGAAAATCAGAAAACACACACACACACATACATCAAATGCCCGAAAGGACATGGCACCCCTTCAGCCACACACATTGTTGTTAGGCACAGTTTCATCCATCTTTGTCAAGGGGAGTGCTATCCCTCTCTCCTTTCATAGGAATTACAGTTTTGAAACAATGAGTTGTCTTTATAGGTAAAGAAAATAATTTGGAAAATGAAGCCTACTTCTCTCCAGACCCACCTCCTCTCCCATGCCATCGGAAGAATTTAACAATTTCTTTTCCATTTCCAGTCTTTCAATGTTGACACAAAGTTACCTACAGTGAGGCTGATTATAAAATCACACACAAGATGGGCATAAATGATAAGACTAAATCCAGCGTTCCCAAAGTGATGAATAATAAAAGGACAGGTGCTTTTAAAAGAACACTGATAGCCAGAGACTTGAATCCTTACAGCAAGAGCTGTTTTGGGTACACAGTGAAATTTGCAGGTGTGCCTTGCATTCTGTTTTATTTAATAATGATTTGCTTAGTTAAATAGCCTGTAGAGGCAACATTTATGCACCTAATATAAATAGAGCATTTCCTACAATTGTGTGATTGTAAAGTCATGATATTGTTTTGAACAAACCTCTGATTTTAATGTAGACGTCATTTAATATCAATATTATTCATTCTTTTGAATCTGAGGTGTTTTAACTGACTTTCAATTTAACTGTTGAAACTACACAGGTTGTGTTAGCATATGAAAATCATGCTACTTATAATTAATATACAAAGAAAGATGGTTTGCTGTCATGTAGTTCATATTAATCTGACATGTTTCACATGCTTACTAATTGACCCTGTAGGTATTACTACAGGTCAGTATGATTTTAGTCTAGTCTTCATTTACTATGTTAGGATTGTAACAGCTACAGAACTAATTCAAGTGGTGCCCACCTCAAGGATCCTGGAAACTCTTTGTATTTGTCATGGTGTATATAAAAATACTCATTAAGTAAAGAAAGAGACAATTTTTCATTAAGAGATAGTAAAGTCTGTCAGATGGACACCTTTCTCCCCTTTGATCGAAAATGTTTTTCTGCCTCACAAATATATATCTGATTACAACTGCCCAGCCCCTCCCTCCACTCCTCCCAGCCCCTCCCTCCACTCCTTCCAGCTCTTTCCCACCTCCAGTGCCATTTGGATCTACCTCCTTTGTCTCACATTAGAATACAAACAGGTGTCTATGGAATGGTAATTAAATAAAATGTAGTCAGAATTATACAAAACAGAGAGAAAAGAGCTCAAGAGAAGGCACAAGAAAAAGACCCATTCATTTGCACACTAGGGAATAGCAGAAAACACTAAACTGGAAGACATATACACAAGGGACCTATGAGGTAAAAAGAGAAAGATAGATAGATAGATAGATAGATAGATAGATAGATAGGGATAGATATAGAGAGATAATTAAAAAGAATATAATTTTTTTAAAAAAAAAGGAAGAGCCCTGACACTACATTGAGACAAGCAACCTCCAAAGATTTCCATTGAGTTCTACCCTGATGGATGCCGGCCCTATGCATGCTGCCTAAGTCTCTGTGAGTTCATGTGTGTCAGTTTTGTTGGTTTAGAGGACCTTGTTTTCTTGGTATCCTCCATACCTTCTGGCTCTTAAACTATTTCTGACTATTCCATGGGGATACTTTGATCTCTGAGAAAAAAAGGGGGGGAGGAATTTGATGGAACCTCTTTTGGGCTGAGTGTTCCAAGATCTCTCACTCTCTGCATGACATCTGGCTTCAGGTCTCTGTATTTGTTCCCACCTCCTTCTTTTGCTTTAGGAAATTTTCTTCTATGGTTTTGTTGAAAATACTTTCTGTGCCTTTCACCTGGGGTTCTTCTTCTTTCTCTATTCCTATTATTTTACATTTGGCTTTTTTTTTTCATCGTGTCCAAGATTTTCTAGAGATTTGGGGCCAGAAATTTTTCTTTTATTGGATATTTTCTTTATTTACATTTCAAATGTCATTCCCTTTCTCGGTTTCCCCTCCAGAAACCCCCATCCCATCCCTCCTCCCCCTGCTTCTATGAGGGTGTGCCCCCCAGCCACCCACTCCCACCTCCCCGCCCTGGCATTCCCCTACACTAGGGCATTGAGCTGTCACAGGACCGAGGGCCTCTCCTCCCATTGATCCCCAACAAGGCCATCCTCTGCTATATACTCAGCTATTAAAAACAATGACTTCATGAAATTCTTAGGCAAATGGATGGAACTAGAAAACATTATCCTGAATGAGGCAACCCAGTCACAAAAGAACACACATGGTATGCACTCGCTGATAAGTGGATATTAGCCCAAAAGCTCAGAATATCCAAGTTACAATTCACAGACCACATAAAACTCAAGAAGAAGGAAGACCAAAGCGTGGTCCTTAGAAGGTGAACAAGATACTCACAGGAGGAAATACTGAGAAAAAGTGTGGAGCAGAGATGGAAGGAAAGGCCATCCAGAGACTGCCCTACCTGGGGATCCATTCCATATACAGTCACCAAACCCAGACACAGTTCTGTCCAGACAGTCCACAGGTTCTCCTTCTGTGATCCAGGCACCCTAACTGTGACGGGTCACCCCACAAAGATTCAGCAGTAGGATCCACACCACGCTACAGCTAAGCATGACACAGTTGCCAAGGAATGAGCGCACAAAAGGCTGAAGGTCAGTCCTCAGTGAAGGCCTGGCCACGGGAAGCCTGTGTCCTACAGCACCATCAATCTGTCTTGAAGAGATAACCTGTCATGTTTCAGAAGGAAAGTCTTCGTCCAAACAGCTCTGACTTCCCCATAAACTCTTTGCCCACTTTCACAAGACACAGAAGCGCATTGGAACTTAGATCATGCAGAACGTTTATAAGTATCCTAGGCAGAATCCTGAAACATCTGACAAGGAGGATGACAATATGGTCCTCTCGTTTGAACACAGCCTGCAAACTCTCGTGCTAATATTCCAATCTTCAACACTATACTGACAATAAACAAAATACAACAAATTGTAAAAAAAAATGCTTTAAAATCAAGTGGTGATATTCAAGTAAAATTAAATTAAGTTAAAAAGTCAGTTTGTCAGCTGGGAGGTATCTGGAATGCTAGAGCCCTGAATAGTAGATGTATACTTGATATTTATGAAAACATGTCAGGACACAGATGAGTATATAAAGCTAAAAGATGTGTCAACTAATAACATGAAACAAAAAATTCCAGAAATATTTTCTATGCAACATTTCTTTTGAATTCCAGAGAAGTAATTTAACAGATACCAAACCCATCTTCCTACATAAAGCTTAAGGACAGCCATCTTCTTTAGGATATCTACAAATGATGTTATGAACACCAATTTGCTTTATTAATACAATCATTAAATAAATTATTGCCACAGTTAAATATTGAGCTGCTCACAATTTTTCTACTTACTCTAATAAAAATAGCAGTAAATAGTTTAGTATAGAAATGCCAAGATACATTAATAAGCTCATGAAATATGCAGTGGTTTTATTTTAATCCCCCTTAGAGCATTTTAAATTCTTTATCCCTCCCTAAAGCAATGTTCAACATAATGCACTCGGTCTCTTAACAAATATTCAGTGACATAATTAAGGCGCTTTATAATAAAGTGGCATGAAACTTTTCATTTTTAATTCTTGCTTTTATTGATATTTTAATTCTTAATATTGTTGATAATAGTAATAATAATGTAACCCATAAATGTTATAATTCACTTTTTCTCTACTACATAATTCATCACCAAACTCATAAGCACAAAACAAATCCAAGACAAAAGTACCCTAAAAGCTAAATCATTCTAAATACCTATAGTTTATAGTAAACAAACTCAAAATCACACTTCTCTCTCTTCTGTCTCTGTCTCTCTGTCTCTCGCTCCATCTCTCTTTCTCTCTCTCTCTCTCTCTCTCTCTCTCTCTCTCTCTCTCTCTCTC